GAAAGCCGAAGCCTCCTTCCCCAAAATGATTCAAATACCATCCCTCGATGGAGTTTCCTCAACTCCTGTGATTGAGAACTGCTTTTCCAGGCCAGGGAGTTACTCAGATCGCAAAAATACGCCCATTAAGGGCTACATAGGCTAGCCCTCGTAAAAGGTAGACGGGTGAAGTAACCCATTCAGCCGGCTTTCCGGCGCTGTTCGGCTTGGTGGGGGCACCGAATGGCACTCAACTAAGCTTGTAAAGATCTCCTCGTGAAACCTAATCCCAGTGACCTAAGGCTCACTCAAACACTTTGACAGCTTCAGGAGTTTACAGATCTAACAAACTGAGATCGGTTAGTTGGCATGAGCTAAAAAAGGAACCTAACAGAAGTGCAAAATGCCCCTTCCAAGCCGAACAGAGTCATTCTGTTTAGGAGTGCTAGGGCTGAGTGGGTGATGGTCCTGTGCCCTGTAATGAAGCAATTGTCGGAGGGAAGTTCTTGAGCGTCTAGGAATGGGTTTTTCAAATGTCAGCGTATACTTTCCGTTACTAATGCTGCTCATAAATTTCATGAGCAGTCGTTCTGAAAGTTTAGTACCCAATAACGTTGCAGTTTATGGGTTAACGAAGTAGGGGCAGGGTCATGGGTTGCACATCTGTTGCAGACGAAGTCATTAAAAGTTCAAGGGAAACATCCTTACTGCGAAGAGTTATCAGTTCAGTCCAACGCCTATTTCGCGTCTGTTCATGTGGGACTGCAGCCTATTGGTGAGTCTGGCATGACATACCGCGTGTGTCACGCGGCCACACAGGAAAGTATCGCTACAGCTTGCGTTTTCAAATTGTTAAGTGGTTGTAAAAAATCCACTAATATTCGTTTCTGGTGCTGGCGCCATCAGGCATTAATCGGCACCAGGTGGGGGTCACGACCTTCCTAACCGAAACTGATAAAAATTTCAACTGTGGGCCCCATTCAAATCAAGAGAATCTAGCACCCACACTGCATAGCACAGCACCCACACTATGCCCCGCCCATTCGGCCACGCTCCTCTTAGGCCGCTCTATGTTTTTTCTGGCAAATTAAATTGTTAAAAAATTGAAAAAAAATTGAAAAAGACTCTGACAGCACTCGCAGCTAATAAAGTATGTGAACGCAGCCTTGGGAGGGTCATAATCGCAATGGTCTCTGCTAAAAAATTGCCTCCTTCAGTATTTGCCCTTTAGATCCTTTGGTGGTTCTGATGAAAAATGAGTACGACTCATCTATTGACACTTCAATCCAAAGACGACTACTTCTACCAGGTCAGGTCATTGCAATAATAATTTATCAATTTATAGGAAAAATAAATCATCCAGTACTATTGCCCTTTACCGCTTCAATTTTCAAAGTGCGAAGTCCGGGTCAGAAATCTACTCGGACTGGAAATTGGTCTCCAGGGGTAGTTTGACCTCTTGAAAACGAATATCATATCTTCATGGGATATCGAGGGAATTAAGGGTGAGGAAAGGGCACACGTCTGCGTCGACTCCCTTCATCTGTCGAGGCTTAATCTTAGCGAAGGGAACGAGCATCAGCACAGGCAGTCAGGATGGTTCTGCCTACTGTCGTCGTGTTTCCTTAACTGCCCTAGCACAACATTTTCCACGGAATGGCTTGAACTCCGCGGTACACTCGTTGGGAAAAAAAACAAACATGTCGTGCTGTTGCCTGTAACATAGGGGCCAGGAGTTCGCTCCAAGCGGTTTGGGTTAAGCGGATGAGCTATTCCTGTTCAGTGGTCAAACTACCCATGAGATTAAATTGTTAGCTAACTATGGATGCCAGGATGAAGTTGGATAAAAACTGGTCTTTTTAGGTGTTGGGACAGTAAAGCGTAACGCGCTGTTCGGCGACGGCGGGGGGAGGTATTTTGTACCTTCACTGCTTCACAAGTTCCGCTCTGGTGAAACCTGTGAACTCTTGTAAAGCTGGAGCAAGCTCGTCTAGCCACCATGGTTAAACCCGTCAACTCTTGTCTTGCTCATGTAACTCTTGTAAGAGCTCTCTAGATGGCTCGGAGTGCAGAATGCCCCCCCCCTCCGTCGCCGAGCTGCGTCGTCACTGTTTAGCCTTTACTGTCTCAACCCAAAATCAGACCAGCCAACAGTGATAATCATATTGTGTGCGATGAATTTCGTGAACATGATGGGCTTGTGCAACGGCTACGTTTCAGAATAGTGTTTCACAAATAAAATGGTGGAATTTTACTCAGACCAATATTGTGAAATGGAATGCCCACCTACAGAGACATATAGCAAAAAGAGGAATCGCGCACAAAGTCAGAAACAGAAGGAGAACACACATGACACACCATGTGTGTCATACATTTTCTACTTATTTGCTTTTTATACGGTGCGGGATGTTGACCAGCGATCAAAGAGATTGAGTTTCACCTCGGAGGGGAAACGGCCGAGACAATCGCGAATTGCCGCTCCGTCGCGCGCGACGACGAGAGCGACTTTTTCCGCAATTCGCATTAGCCTATCGACTGAATTGTAAAACACCTAAAGGACATTTTGTTTATACTCTTCTTACCCCCCCCCCCCACAAATCCTATCCGCAGCCTCAACGTGGCGTGGGGGTGAACCGGTTTGGACTGTTCCAAACCCCTACCAATGCGGAGGGTGCCACGTCAGAGCCTGGCGAGCTACGCGTGGTTAAATTTCTTCTCGCCGAAAACAGTAATAATTATGGGCCTCATTCCCCTGAACCTGAGGGAACCACCGACAGGGGTGATTTCGACTGCGCGATGGGAAAATCGGTCTACGGCTGAATCTAACGAAGACGATGTTCATGAGAAACGGATTGGTTTCTGATGCCCCATTCACGCTCAACGGAACGACCATCTCTGAATGCTCTAGCTATGTGTACCTAGGTCGTGAAATCAATATGATGAATGACCTAGCTCCAGAGCTGAGCAGGAGGAAGCGAGCGGCTTGGGGAGCCTTCAAGAACATCGAGGGAGTAGCGAAGAAGACGAAGAACACCAAGCTCCGTGCCACCTCTTCGATTCCGCGGTCCTTCCTGCCTTGACGTACGCCTCAGAGACTTGGACTCTACGAAAGCAGGATGAGCATGCGGTCGGCGTTATTCAACGCGCCATCGAAAGGGCGATGCTCGGAGTTTCCCGCTACACGCAAGTGAGAGAGGGAATCCGGAGCTCCGCACTCCGCCGACGATCGAAGATCAGAGACGCCGCCGCATTTGCCAAGGTTTCGAAGATCAGGTGGGCCGGACACGTCATGCGTTTCGAGGACGACCGCTGGACCAGAGCGATCACCGACTGGATTCCACGGGATGTCAAGCGAACGCCTGGACGACCGCCTATGCGATGGTCAGACTTCTTCGTGAAAGCTCTGAACGAATGAAGTTCATCGTGTCCCTCGAGCAGAGAGAGTCCATTGGGCAACTCTTGCACGTTGCAGGGACGAATGGAGACGTTACTGGCGCCCGCTCGAAAACTCGATGATCAACGGGAACTCTTCTTACTGTCGCCGTCGACGTCTTAAAGGCAGCGCCCGCGTTCAATTTGATGAGTTATGGGGCTCAGACAGTGACAACAAGGTAGCAAGTAGTTCATTAGTGAAGAAAATGAAAAATCATCGGATATGCCCTATATAGGACCCCACGCCGAGCTGAGGTTGTACGTGCTCAAGGCGAAGAGAAGGCGCGCCGTTCTCACTTGTTGGTATCAGCTGTTTTCCCTTATCACCTCACTCTCACCATTCGAAGTGGAGAGAGTTAGTAGCGGAACAACCGCACCATCAGGCAACCATTAGAAATGAAGTTGGGCGTAGTGGTCGCCAGGTGGGCGGGGTGGCCGACTCTTCACGAGCGGGCGCCGCTATTCTCTCGCATTTTTGAGTTGCGAAACTAGTACGTCCACCATCCTCATAGGGTGAGCTACGATATCCAAAGAGGGCGTGGAACAACAAATGAACGCGGGCGCTGCCTTTAAAGCATCGCCACTAGCGGGCCCAAGACAAGTCAATCGTATTTTGTCGCGCCTGTGAACACCGCGATGAAAGGCCGCTATCCAGACTGGATGGCGTTGTTGAAAGGCCGACGCCATCCAGTCTGGATAGCGTCCGCAACAATTGCGTTCACAAGAGATTCGGTGTGAATACCGCAGTCGAGAAAATGCACGAAGCCCGCCTTTGATGGTATGGTCATGTACTGCGCGCGAATCCTGACACTGTCCGTGGTGGTTCTGAGCTCGAGTTTCCGAACAGCAGCCTAATGGGAATAGGGGCGGACCCCCGCAGCTAGGGGGGGGGCATGCATGATGCCTATAAGAACAAGAAAAAGAACAAGAAACAAGGACAAGAAGAACAAGAACAAGGAATAACCGTCGAGACTAGTTAGATCACTGCCGAAAATGTGAGTTGAGCAAGTTCTCAGGAACAAGCTGTATCAATCGTTGACTGAAGTATTTGCTACTGGAATTATTTTCACGATTCCGTCCTTCTGCTTCGGCTGACATGGAGATAAATCGACAAACAGTGAAGTCTATTTCGAGGAAAATTTCATTTTATAAAGCCCTGTATTCCAACGATGTCATGCGCGTTGGCATAAGCATTAGAATACCTTGAACGCGCTACATTTGTGCCAATGCGGATCAGTAAATAGCTGCTTATTCACACTTCTCTCTTGCGTAGTCACAAGGTTGCCGAGTTCCGAATAACTGACTTGCGGCGCCGGGATCTGAACTCGGACGCTCATGTTTTTCCCATGACGCAGGTGTGGTCCATGACGCCATCGGGGTCGTATTTTGTGATTGAAGATATCGTCACATATACCTCACTTAGGTCTTCATTGCTCACAGCTAAATTACCTTACAAGCGTTACTGCCAAAATCAATCGTGTCGTAATAAAATGAGTGAACCTCAGTATGAAGCTCAAGCGAATCTGATATTTTCACCTGCGAAACCACTGAAATCCGAGACAAACATACTAGGTGCTAGAATCACTCACCGGAGGCAACGAAGGCGGAGCACCATAATACGGCACCACGTAAGATTCGGGGAATAGTCCGACTTGTCCACGTGAGTTGGTTCCTTCCATCCAACCACCTTCGACATTCTAAATAGTACAGTATAAGTCTTACAGGACTACTATCACAAATGGACAACTGGAACATTAGGCTGCTTTCATAGTTTACGGCAGCGTCCACCAGCGTCTACAAGCCTTCACCAGCGACCGAGAGTAGAGAGTATGGGGAAGTAGGAGGGTAGCAAACAGCTGGATTAGGTGTCGTGAAACTGCGGCGTGTGCAACCGCACCGTACAACTACACTACACCGTACATTGAATTGCATAATTCTGCGCTTTCAGCAGTTGCGTGCGGTTGCACGCGCCGCAATTTCACGACGCCTAATCCAGCTGTCTTATCCCTCCTTCTTCCCCACACTCTCAACTCCCGGCCACTGGTGAACGCTGGTGAATGCTGCTGCACGCTGGTAGATGCTAGACCAATACCTATATTTTTCTAGTTGCTGACTCTGCCGGACGCTCGGAACGCTAGCGGACGCTGGTAGACACTGGTGGTTTCTACCAAAGTACGAAAGTAGCCTAAGATCTGATGAGCAGCTGTTCGAAAAAAAATAAAGGGCAGGGCTCTCGCCTCCTGTGGTGCATTCTACTCCCATTCAGAGCAAGCCTTTCATTTTTACGGTGGCTGATTGCTATGACGCCCCTCAGGTCTCTTCCAGCCGTTTGGGGAAAATCTTGCAAGATACGACTCTCTTCCCCTCAATATTTCACTATCTTGTGTGCCTTCCCCCAATCTCTCATCCCACCTACCATTTTCTGGAACTTCTCGAATTTTTCCGACTTTCTCCCACTTTGAGGAGTTTTCTTTCGGAAAATCCCCCACTTTTCCTCGAAAACAGCAGCCGGGCGTCTTGAGGGGTGTGCAGGAAGGAGGAGGGGGGAATGCCAAGGAACAGGAAGAACTAGCGAAAGATGGTAGAACTGTTCACCATGTACAACAATTCAAACGAAACAGGAAAACATGGAAGGTCAACAATCAGAATGATGGTTCCCGAGTGCACCCAAGTGCGATCCTATTCCTCACCGACGCCTCTTCCTCGTTTCTGGATTGTCCAACGTACGACGGCCGTATTAATAAATACTCTGTGAACGAGGCGCCGGATGTACAGTTTAGCGTATTTAAAAATTTCAAGAAGGCTCCTTTATATTAATTCACTCGCCCATGACGGAAGAAGGCCTTTCTAGGGTCTAGGCGGAAAGCGATCCGGACCGGGACTCGCGGACGCAGCCCGGTGGTATGCGCGTACTTGCCTAAGCAATCAAGATCCACATGAGCGGCTTTATAGGCAAATATGTTTTTCAGTGGAAGATAGAGAGAGTTCGAGTGGCTTCGAAGATGAGCGACGCCTCCGTCAGCCAATGGACTACTAGAACCCCTGTCTTTCAACGATCTTAGCTGAAGATTTTCCTGAGAGGCCTCTTAAACTTACCTCGTTAAATTATTAGGTTGGCTAATAAGTAATGGCCGGTTTTTTTCAATTGAAAAATTTGTTCGAAAAGTGAAAGTTTTGCAAGCAAGTTATATATCATCTGATAGGAAACTTCTCGTAGTATAAGAATATCAAAAAAGCTTTGGTTGAGGATATAGTTTTTGTGAATTTTTTAGTCGTTGAAGTTGGAAGTGAAGTCGGCGAAAATTAGCATCTTCGACAACTGCCTCTATTTAGAAATTTCATGCTAATAGTTGAATTAATTGAATTTGAATTTGATATTCTAATACTACGAGAAGTTTGCTATTAAACGATATTAAGCTTGCTTGCAAAACTTTTCACTTTTGGAACAAATTTTTCAATTGAAAAAAAACGGCCATTACTTATTAGCCAACCTAATATAATTTCATGATGTACTGAAGTTTAAGAAATTTATGACGCTGTTCGCATTAGGGGGGGGGGGGGGGGGAGAAAGAGCGTTCTGGTTCGCTAGTTCCTTGGCTAAGTTCCTTCAAACTCAACAACGTTCACAGAGCAACATCAAATCGGATTTGGTCAAGCCCGTCCTAAAAGGTGGCTCGGATACGACCCCCCCCCCGCGCCTCCTCTCTTTCACCAGTTTCAATTTTTTTTCCTGAGGGAATCTCTTGCCCGCTGCACTTTTTCTCAGCCGCTAATCCAGGCAAATACGACTCCCCCTCCAAAAGCGAGCAAGATACGGTACCGTTCCGTCTATAGCGCCTGTGAACAAGGAATTACAACAAGGTGGGCTGCGTACTTCACATAAACATGGCGCAGCATGCGTTTTTCTTGGGATTCTTCCATTTCAGCCAATTGTCATGTTGCCTTGTACCGGGCAAAGGCACGATTACAGTCGTCCCCAAACGGTAATATCACACCAAAAACGTAGCCGCTCTCACGATCGAGTGAAGTACGGAGCCACGCCCCCTCATCCCCCGAATATGGAGTGTATGTATGTGTTCGTGTTTACCCTGTTATCACTGAGTAATAGTTAATGTGACTCACTCGACGTACAACAGTGAGTATTTCGCCAGCAGTGATGCTCATCTCGCCGGTGTTGGGCTGAGCCTCGAAATCGTACTCGGCCTTCACCTGACTGCTCATACTGAAAACGCAGAAGTATTACAAAATCACGTCTAACGCCGAACGTTTACGAAGGTGCTGAGACTTCGAGTACTGATCGTAAATAATCTCAAATGAGCGCTGCACAGATTTGAAGACACACTGTGCACTCACATCCATGAAGCCAGATCCTTGCGAAGTGCGAGTTGGACGGGTCTGCAACTGCATCTGTAACACTCTCACTCAAAAGTGCACAGACAGGGGCATGCAGATGGGGCTAGAAGGTACTGATCCAGGTGCTGTCTGCCTACTTAGCCTCGCGCTGCAGCACAGCCGGCCCCACGCCTAATCATAGTCAAACGCACTAATCCCTGCTC